TGTGTCTTCCTTGGTTTCCCTGAGGCCTCCTCTGACTTCACCTTTTACCACCCTCCCTCCCACTGGTTCTTTGACTCTCGTGACGTCAGTTTCGACGAGTCCGTCCCCTACTACGTCCGGTACCCCTGTCGAGGTCTCCCGGTTCCCCCCCCCTCCCCTCTTCCTCGCCCCAGCTCCTCCTCCTCCCGCTCCCTCTCCTCCGGTACCCCCCCCGGTTCCCGCTCCGTCAGGTGTGTCGCAGGCTACCCCCCCTCCCTCGGTCCCCCCCCAGGTCTCTCCTCCTTCCCCACAGTCGTCCTCACAGCCTCCGCAGCAGCCATCGGCGCTTCCTCTCCCGGCCACTGCGGACTCTGAGGGTGTTGGTGCTCGAGGTGAGGGCTCTGGCGGTGCTGGTTCTGGGGGTGTTGGAGTTGGAGCTGAGCGTGCACCTGCCGCAACTGCACGTCCCGAGCGTGTTGGAGTCGGTGGTGGTGCTGGAGCTGGTGGTGTTTCTGGAGCTGGAGAGTCTGGGGCTGGTGCTGGTGCCACTGGCGGCGCCACGACTGGGGGTGCGGGTACACCTCCTACAGGTACTGGTCGTGCTGCCGCAGGGGGTCCTCGCTCTGGGGGTGCTCAGCCGGGTCCTGTCGAGGGTGGAGCCGGTTCTTCTTCGTCGTCTCCTGACACCACTCCTCCTCCTCACCCCTACCCGACTCGTTACCAGGCCCTTCGTCGTCTAGAGCGTGAGGAGCAGCAGCGTTTGGAGCGTGAGAGGTTGGAGGTTCAGCAGCGGGTGGAGCGTGAGCGGTTGGAGTTTCAGCAGTAGCAGCAGCAGCAGCAGCAGCAGCAGCAGCCGCAGCCACAGCCACAGCAGCAGCAGCAGCAGCCGCCGCAGCTGCCGGAGCAGCCTCCGGCCCCTGTTTCTGGCCTTCGGGCCCTTGGTCTCCCCTCCTCTCCTCCTGTGTTTGGTCCCACGTTTCCTCCTCCGGACTCCACTCCGGCTGTCTTCCCTCGTTCTCAGTCTCCTCCGTCCCCCCCTCCTCTCGCCCACACTTGGGCCTCTCGCCCTCCTCGTGCTCGTCCCTCGTCCCCTGTCACTGACCTCCGTACCGTGTTGTTTCGTCCTCGTCCTCCTCGTTCTCCTCCGTCTGTCCTTCCTCGTCCTCCTGAGTCTTCCCTCACTGCCTCCCTGTCCACTCCGGTCACTGACTACTACCGCACGTACCGCCCCACTCTCTCTCGTGTTCTCGCCTCTCTTGTTACAGACCCTCGTGCCTCTCCTTCCTCCGTCGCGGTCCTCACTGCCGCTGTCACTGACTTTACTGCTACGCGTCGCCTTGACTACGCCACTCGAGTTGTGGCAGCTCCTCCTGTCCGTCCTCTGTCCGCCGGGGGTGTGTGTGCCCTTGGCTGTGACGTCCTAGAGGACAGACAGTTTGAGCTAGAGTTCCTGGCAGCTGCTTCGCCTCATCTCTGTGCCATGCTGCTCACTCCTGAGGGAGACCCCGACGCTCCTGACATACCTACTCCTCGCACTTACGCTGAGGTAGTGTCAGGGCCTTGGGCCTCTCAGTGGAGAGCTGCCATGGACGCAGAGATGGCCTCCTACAGGTCCACAGGCACTTACGTTGACGAAGTTCCCCCCCCAGGGGCGAACATTGTTGACGGCATGTGGATCTTCAAGGTGAAGCGGCCGCCGGGATCTCCCCCAGTCTTCAAGGCACGCTACGTGGCTAGAGGGTTCAGTCAGCGCGAGGGGGTTGACTTCTTTCAGACCTTCGCGCCCACCCCGAAGATGACCACTCTTCGGGTGTTACTGCACGTAGCAGCGCAGAGAGACTACGAGCTACACTCTCTTGACTTCTCCACTGCCTTCCTCCAGGGCTGCTTACACGAGGAGATCTGGCTGCGTCGTCCTCCGGGCTTCACTGGCACTTTCCCGCCTGGGACCCAGTGGAGCCTCAGACGACCGGTCTACGGTCTCCGCCAGGCACCCCGTGAGTGGCACGACACTCTCCGCTCTACTCTCTCCAACCTTGGGTTTGAGCCGTCTTCCGCCGACCCGTCGCTGTTTGTTCGTCGTGGCCGTACACCTTTCTTCGTCCTAGTCTACGTTGACGACTTGGTTTTTGCCACGGCCGACACAGTTGCACTGGCCGAGGTGAAGTCCGAACTGCAGAAGAGACACACCTGCACTGACCTTGGGGAACTGCGCCGCTACCTTGGCCTGCAGATCTCCAGGGACAGAGCCGCTCGCACCATCACTCTCACTCAGTCACACATGGTGCAGCAGGTTCTTCAGCGGTTCGGGCTTCAGGACTCTTCTCCTGCCCCCACTCCTCTTGCTGTAGACCACAGACTCACTGGGCCTTTTCCTGACGAGCCGTTCGAGCCCAGTGGTCCCTACGCAGAGCTGGTGGGCTGCCTCATGTACCTGATGACGTGCACTCGCCCGGACCTCGCCTTCCCCCTTAGCATCCTGTCTCGCTTTGTTGCGACTGGGAGACACCGTCCTGTTCACTGGGCGGCGGCTAAGAGGGTGGCGAAGTGCCTTGGCGCGACATCAGGCATGGGGCTTGTACTTGGAGGGACACAGCCAGTTGTACTCACCGGTCACTGTGACTCTTCCTACGCTGACGACGTTGAGACTCAGAGGTCTACGCAGGGTTACTGTTTCAGCCTGGGTTCTGGAGCTGTTTCGTGGAGGTCTACTCGGTCCTCCTCTGTTGCGACTTCTACCGCAGAGGCCGAGATCTACGCTGGGGCCCTTGCTGCTCAGGAGCTACGCTGGTTGACCTTTTTGCTCACTGACCTTGGTGAGCGGCCGAGCTCTGCACCGACCCTGTTTGCTGACAACAGGGCGATGATTCTCCTGTGTCGTGAGCCTCGACTGGAGAGCCGAGTGAAGCACATCGACGTTAGGTACTTCCTCCTTCAAGGGTTGCAGAGACGCGGACAGGCTCGTCTGGACTTTGTGGCCTCCGAGGCCAACACTGCAGACATCTTCACCAAGGCCCTCCAGCCTTGTGACCACCGTCGGTTTTGTCTGCAGTTAGGCCTCGTTGAGGCTGGGTCTAGTTGACTGTTGTAGGGTGCTCTTTGTCTGTTGCTTGCTTGTACCTTATATATATATATATTTGTTTGCACACTTTTGGACTGGCCTTGTGGCCCTTTGCTTGTGCTCAGATTAGGTGGTGACGTTGTCATCCACCCTGAGCTTTGTTTTCTTTCTCTTGTTTTTGACTGGTCTTGTGACCGTAGGTTGCTTGTTGTTGATTGGCCTTCCCCACTTAGGCTACGGGGGTGTGTCAAATATTATAGCCTGTAGTGGGTTGGGCTATATGGGGTACAACTAGTTAGGGTTAGGTGATGTACCCCAATTCTGTCAATACAACGCATTCCGCTGTAGTTCTCATTCTGACAGGTACCTCCATACTTCGTCGTATCAGATGAAAGCATACTCGGTGTCCGAAATGTCAGACAAAATATAACGCGCTGCTTTATTTTTAAGACGAAATAAAATCCTCTGTCTTATGGTTCAGATGAAATTAAATTGCTGGTCTTGAAAATCATATGAAACGAAAAAAGTAGGTCTGTTTTTCAGACCATCAGACCGATGTGGTCTGATAACCAGAGCCCTGGCGAGGATTGCGCTAGGTGTCAAACGAGTACAAAGTACGAGCGAAGGCATGAGCGAATACATGTGCGGAACATGTAACGGTTACGCGGTGTGTGCGAGCTAGCTAGTGCTAGTCTGGCATCGAGGCTCGGGCTAGTTCTGAAGCGTAGGCCGACTGGGCTAGGCCAGCAGTGCATGGTTTGGTAAAACAGTGCGCGTGAAGTTGGCGAAGCCCCGTTTGCAGTTACGGGCGAACAACGGCGGCTGCTGCTGTACGTACGCGATGTTGACAGTCTTGGTAAAGAATGGTGAGAAAAATCCTTACAACGGTATAGGATGAAGACAGTCTTTTTTCTCAAAACATTGTACGCTTGCCAAAAAAATGCTCACAAGAAAACTTGATGTAGGTGTGCACGATAAGACCCTAGGTTGATATACCCCGGTGATTACAATACGTGCGGTATCCCCATTCGCACTACTGCAAATCATCACACACTACTGCCCTCTTCCAACCAACCACTACCACCTTCATGAACTTGATTTCTTTCAAATCACCTTTCACAATCCCAGCCCCCCAGTTCACTGCCACAGCCGCTCCACATCCTCATGCACCTCCCTCACCCTCTCCATCTTGATTCGACGACGCACTTCACAACACAACACCCCCCTTTAAGCCCAAAACCCGCAGTCCCCCAATCCCCCAATCCTTGCATCTCATCCCAGCCACATCCTATCGCTCTGCTCTCAAAAGTCCCTCTCTCTTGTCTCAACGCCCTCTCAGTCACAGTACCACCCCCCTACAGTCCCGGACCCATCGTCCTCCCATCCATGCATCTCAGCCCAGCCACTACATCCCACCGTACCACTTTGTAGCTGCTCCAGCTACTCCCTCTGCCTCGACTCTTCCTCATCGTTCCCTACGCCACAGTACCACAACTCTACATTCCATTTGAGGATTCTCAAGAGGCTCTCATCTCGTCTCGTCTCGTCTCGTCTCGACTCGTCTCGACACCTCAACCTCCTCACTCACAGTATCAACCGCGTACGGACAGACGAAGTCCCACACCGTCCTCCCATCCTTACGCCTCAGCCCAGCCACATACTGTTGTTCCAGCTGCTCCTGCACCTCCCTCGGCCTCTGTCCCTGCCCATGCACACCCTCACAGTCCCAAACCCACCGTCCGCCCATCCTTACGTCTGAGACCAGCTACATACTGTCGCTCCAGCTGCTGCTGCTGCTGCTGTTGCAGTTCCCTCTGCCTCCGCCGCTGCCCATGCACACCCTCACAGTCCCAAACCCACCGTCCTTCCGTCTTTACACCTCAGACCGGCCACGTACTGCCGCTCCAGCTGCTCCTGTAGCTCCCTCTGCCTCACCCCCGTATCACCCAAATCCTTGTCCTTAAAGCCCCAAACCCACCGTCCTCCCATCCTTGCGTCTCAGCCCAGCCACGTATTGTCGCTCCAGCTGCTCCTGCAGCTCCCTCTGCTTTTCTTCTGACATCACCACCCCCACTGGTGCATTGGCTGCTGCTGCTGCTGCTGATGCCGTGGCTGGAGCGGCCTTTGCTCCCTTCAACCCCTGCACGGCATGCCAGGGCACAGGGATGCATGGCGAAGGTAAGAAAAAAGGGGGATGGGCAGGCGAGAAGGTAGCATAGGGAAGATTGGATAAGTCTGTGCAATCTGCAGCAGCTGCTGGCATGGCTGGTGCTGCGTTCGCTCCTTTCAGCCCCTACACACCATCGCGACTCATGAGGCACATGGGACGTGTGGAGGAGGGAAGACCAGAGGTGTGTCAGGGAGGGGGGAGGTTAGCATAGGAGGGAAGAGGTTGGCACAGGGTAGATTAGATTAGCTGGCTTGCCGTCCTTTTGAGACGTCTCAAAACTGGAGAGGGAGGGAGGGGGGACAAGAAATGGGCCCACATGTATCTTGCACCTGAATGTTGCAACAACAGCACATCACACGAAGCAGAAAAAGTTGAAACTTCACTATGAGACTTTGAATGAAACTTCACCATGAGCCTTTGAATGAAACTTCACCACGAGCCTTTGAATGAAACTTTACCATGAGCTTTTGAAACTTCTCTTCTCGGCTCCGATCCCCAAAATGCACGTTCTCCCACCCCTTGCTGCTGCTGCCACCAACCCCTCCCGCACCAGCTGCACCAGTCGCACCCACACCAACTGCACCAGCTGCACCAGTCATGCCGGTCACTCCACCACCAGTTGGCCCTGCAGCATCAGCAGCAGCAGGAGGCGCGGCAACAGCAGCAGCAGGAGCCGTGGTAGCAGCTTGTGCAGAGTCCTGGAAAGGGGCAAGGGGAGGGTGGGTGACAGGGAGGGTGCCGTCTGGGAGCGTGAGGGGGGGGAAGAGTGTTAGATAACAGCGAAATGGACTAGAGTCACTAGACACATAGAGACAGACAGATAGCATAAACGCGTTCCAATGACAAATACTGAGCAGAAGGTTCTTAGGCAGACATAAAAACTTACTTATGAACAGTTTCCTAGAAGGGTCTTCCAGAGAAAGAACCTACCAATTGCACGACAAAGCTTACACAACTTTTTTTCGACCACTCTCGCCGTTCTGTCCCCTCTCTAACCTCGAATTCACCTTCCCCAACCACTCTCAACTCAATACCTCCCAACCAATTTCAACCCAACTCAACCTCTGAAACCATTCTCAGCCACTCTTAACCGCGCCTGACCTTCTTTGAGCCCCACAGCAGCTTCCTCTTCTCCTCTGCCGTCATCCCAGTCTTTCCGAGAGCTGCCCCTCCAACAACATTGCTCCCTGCGGCTCCTCCAATGCCTTTGCTCACTGGGCAAAGGCAGTGGGTGGAGAGGAAGGAAGGAAAGGGAGGGAAAGGAGATACAGAGGGCAGCGGGAGGAGACAGAAGATTCTGAACAATTGAGTAAGAGACCTGGGCTCTGTCTCTTAAGCCCGGGCTGTCGTTCCAGAAACGTGGGAGCGACTGACAACTCTGGCTCTCAAACTGATGCACTTGAGGATTAGAGAATAAGACAAAGCTGCTGCTTGTACGGGGCATGATGGGGCTGCGGTAGCTGTAGTGACAGCCGTTGCAGGAAAAGGAGAAGCTGCCGCGGCAGCTGAGCTGCTGCTACTGCCATCGCAGGGTTCATATTTCAAATGCTGATTAATGCAAAGAGCCCACGCGTCTACTTGGTGCTGTCCATCGTCATCGAGAACACTGATTTCTAGACACAAAAAGTGTGCCGGGGGAAGGTGAGAGGTTAAAAAAGGGAGGAAGGTAAAAGATGTATATTGACAGATGAACGCGAAGAGTTCAAGCTCCCACCTGGTGCTGTCCATTGCCGGAGGAACACGTTCTGTGTCAGGCGATCAATGCTCTTGAAGGCAATGGATAGCACTAGGTGGAAGCGTGAGCTCCCTGCATTCATCTGTCAATGTGCATCTTTTACCTTCCTCCGCCCATTTGACCTTCCCTCCCTCTAAATTTCCCCTAGCACAAGTTCTGTGCAAAACGATCAGTGGTCTCGATGACAATGGACAGCACCAAGTGGGAGCGCGAGCTCTTTGCATCCATTTGTCGTTGTTGCGGTCATCTCTAAGTTGCTGCTACTGCTGCCGCTGCTGCAGGGCTCACATTTATGACTTTTGAGTCGACTCAAAAGTCAACTCGCTGCTGCAGGGCTCACATTTATCCCAACGTCTGTAGCCGTAGCACCAAAAACCCCAAAATCACCCACCTCCTCCCATCACTCACTTAGGCTCTGGCTGCTTCAACCGTCTGAGATGCTGCCCAACAACTCACCCACCTCCCCTCTTCACCCACCCACCTTCCCCTTCCACTCACCCACCTCCCCTCTTCACCCACCCACCTCTCCCTTCCACTCACCCACCTCCCCCCTTCACCCACCCACCTCCCCCCTTCACCCACCCGCCTCCCCCCTTCACCCACCCGCCTCCCCCCTTCACCCACCCGCCTCCCCCTTGCACTCACCCGCCTCCCCCCTTCACCCACCCGCCTCCCCCCTTCACCCACCCGCCTCCCCCCTTCACCCACCCGCCTCCCCCCTTCACCCACCCGCCTCCCCCCTTCACCCACCCGCCTCCCCCCTTCACCCACCCGCCTCCCCCCTTCACCCACCCGCCTCCCCCCTTCACCCACCCGCCTCCCCCTTCACCCACCCGCCTCCCCCTTGCACTCACCCGCCTCCCCCTTGCACTCACCCGCCTCCCCCTTGCACTCACCCACCTCCCCCATTCATTCACCCATCGCCGCCGCTCTCGTTGCTGCAACCATCTGCGCTGCCGCTGCCGCCGCTGCTGGCGCTGCAGGGTTCACCATTATCCCTTCAGCAGCTGAAGCCGTAACACCAGAGAAGCCAGATGTAACAACCATCAACCACCCAACAACTCACCCACCTTCCCCCGTCACTCACCCATTGCCGCCGCTCTCGTTGCTGCAACCATCTGAGCTGCTGCCGCCGTCGCAGCCGCCGCTGCAGGGTTCACACTTATCCCGCCACCAGCTGAAGCCGCAACACCAGAAACCCCAGACTCACCTCCCCCCCCTCCTTTCCCCCGTCACTCACCCATTGCCGCCGCTCTCGTTGCTGCAACCATCTGAGCTGCTGCCGCCGCTGCAGCCGCCGCTGCAGGGTTCACACTTATCCCGCCAGCTGTAGCCGTAACACCAGAGACACCAGATGTAACACCGGAAATTCCAGATGTAACACCAGAAGCACCGGATGTAACCGTTGAAAAGCTAGCTGTAGCACCACCACCAGCAGCGCCACTGGCAGACACACCAGCACCAGCAGCAGAAGCTTGAATGCTGGCACCAATGCGAGCAGCGGCAGCAGCAGCAGCCGCTACAGCCGCTGCTGCCTGCATAGCTTTGTTGACAGAGGCAGCAGGAGGGGGCAGCAGCGCAGCAGCAGAAGCAGCAGTGGAAGCGGTGGGGGCGGGGGAGGCGGGGGAGGAGGCAGCAGAGGTGCACAGCGCACCTGCCTTGGCAGCAGCGAGACGAGCTTTCACCAGCGCCGCCAGCTCAGGGGGTAGTGCGTCCCCAGCAGGCAATGCACCTGCAGCAGGCGATGCACCTGCAGAGGGCAATGCACTCCCAGGAGGGTTCTTGGACTTGGTTGAAGCGACCGGTTTGCCCTTGGCAGGGCTGTTCCCCTCGCGGTTCTCTAAGCTCTTCCCTTCACGTTTCTGTGCGCCGTTCGCCTTGCTGCCTGTTCTGGGCCGCTTGGGACTTCTATCCGGATCTTCTTTCTCAGCAGGGCCATAAGAATCATCCTCAGAATCTCCTTCATCAGCAGGAGACGCTGCTGCTGCTGCTGCGGCAGGAGAATCGTCTGAAAGCTCTCTATCCATGCCACCCCTCTCCTTCCTCCTCTCCTCCTTTCTCTTCCCTCTCCCCTCGTCGCTCGAATATTCCACCCTTTTCTCCTCTCTCTCCTCCCTCTGCTCCTTCCCCCCATCCTTCCTCCCATCCTTCCTCCCCTCCTGCCTCTCCTCCCTCGTCTGCTCCGCCCGTCGCTTTCGGTCCATGGAACCTTCCTCAGAACCTTCCTCGCAAAAGCTCGATCCTCTCTCCCTTCCCTTGCCCCCTCTCCCCTCGTCGTCCCCCACTCTCTCCGTTCCCCTGCCCCCTTTTCCCTCGTCGTCCCTCACTCTCCCCCTCCACCTCTCCAGTCTATCCCTGACCGCTCCTCTGGACTCGTTTTTTGGCAGATCTCTATCCTTATCCCCGTTCGTGTCTCGCAACTCCTTATCGCGGACACCTCTGTCTTTCCCTTCAGCACGGAAATCCCTACCCCTGTCACCGCTTCGAACGTCCCTATCACCGCTTCGAACGTCCCTGTCCCGGTTTCCGCGGATGTCCATATCGCCACCGCGCGCTTTCCGCTCCCGTTCTGCTCGCCGGTCCTCCCAACCACCCTCTCTCTCCTGAGAACCTTTCTCTCTTATCGTACCCCGGTCATCCCTACCCCTGTCCCTATTTCTGTCTCCATCCCTATCCCTATCTCCATCCCTATACCTATCTCCATCTCTATCCCTATCTCCACTCCTATCCCTATTTCCATCTCCATCTTCTTCCCTGTCCCACTTTCTGTCTCGCTCGATTCCTCGTTTCGCTTCCCTGATTCTCTCTTCTTCCTCCTCCCGCATTCGCGTCGACCGATCTACCTCCCGCTCCCGCTCCCGCGCTCCCCTCCCCTCTCCGCTCCTCCTAACTTCCAGTTCCCTGCTTTCCCGCTCTCCCCTTCCCTCTTCGCGCATCCGACGCGTTTCTTCCCCGTTCGTCTCGCTTCTTCTTTCCCACCCCTTTTCCCGCTCCCGCCCTCTCTCTTTGCTCCTATCTCTCTCCTTCTCCATCACTCTCGGTCGCTCCCTCTGCTCCCTCTCCCTTTCCTTCTCTCTATCCCGCTCTCCTCCCCTCTTCTGCCTCTCCCTCCCCCTGTCCATTGCCGTTCCCGTACCCCTAGCTGTGTCTGTTTCTAGATAAGTCTGAGAGAGTCCTTACCTCTGCTCTGTCTGTTTTCAACGTCCTTACCTCTTGCTCAACATCGTAATCTCTAATCCCTGCTTGTAGAAAAAATAATAGCAGATCTAATTCTTCGTTGCTAACTACCTCGCTCTTAGACTTCTCTGCTTAGCCTTCACAACGAAAAATCCTTGTTCTGACAAAAAAAAAACGGGCTTGTTCACAGTCGATGCTCTTTAGAGCCCTGTTTTCTTCCGTTCCGCTCTTAACTTCTGTACGCTCGTCGCCCGAAACCAAGTGACTGCTAGCTTGCACACGAGAGGACAAGATGATGAAGCGAGCAGCGTGAGGGATGGAATGCAGGCTGCGTGGCACAATTTCACAAAGCAGGAGCTGTGGAGCCAGTTTTATGACCGTTGAGGTTTGCGTGTTTTGCCCGGTGAACTGGGGTGCAAAGCTTTTGTGCGGCTACGAATGTTCGGGTTTTGCGGGGGAACTACAGAACAATGCATTCAAGTATGAAAATCAAGAATGTGATGACTACTGGATGATTGAATAACAAGGTTATATAGGCGGAAACGAGCCAGGCGAGAACTTAGGGATGGTATACCTCAGCCGACGAAAACCGCCGCCCAATTTCGCGGTTGCGATAGGACAACGAACCCCCTCGGGATTGACGAGCTCCTGACGACTTGCGAGTGGCAAACTGGGGCGACCTGGCAGTCCTCCGAGGCTCTGAACCCCTCGGGATTGTCGACTATCTGACGACCTCGGGTTTCGCTGAGAGAAACACGAGAAGGATACCTCAGCGGACCCTGAACCACAGCTCGACACGTTGTGCGCCGAGCCGCGGTTACTGCCACGTGGCTTAGTAGGGACGGCCGAGATCGGCCCTGACAATCGGGAGGTGCCACGACGGCGCCGACGTGGCCCCGCTTCGCACCACCGGGTATATTTCGCTGCGCGCGAAACCTGGCGCGCCGACGAAAAAGGTAACCATCGTCCACGCGGCGAAAGACGACTGGGATGGTATACCTCGGCGAAGAGAGCCCCAGAGTCAGGGAATGTCGGCGTCGACCAAGCCTCCGGCCACGCGCCTACTCGCAGGTCGATGAGGCTTGCGCGGGAGAGCAGGACGCTACGGCATTTCGGGAGAGTGGAACTAGGTCATTGGCCTATTGCACGTGGCGCACGTGAATTCCACCGTGGCAAGGCACCGGCGGGAGTGCCGTTGAGCGCAGAGCGGCGTGACACTAGACATGCATCGATCGTGACACGTCATGCCCGTGCACAGCGGCGCTTGCAAAGAGGGCTGCGTGGAGCGCGGCAGGTGCGCAGTGGCTCGCAACCATACCCCTCCTTGACCACGCACAACGCTCTCATTCTGCCGGTTCAGCTTCGTGTTTCTCTCATGCTCCTGTGCGCCATCTAGCACTTCGTTTTCTTCACAGGACCCTCGCTATCTCTGCGGGTGTAGGTTACTCGACGGCCGAGTCGACCGAGAGGCGGCACAAAGGCGACGACCTGGAATAGACTGCCATAGGTCGGTGTTGGGGTCGACCATCGTCGACTTCGCCTTACTAGGTTCTAGGTCGTCATCTAGGAAAGTCGGCGACGATAGATCAGGGCGACGATAGCATCTCCCAACCTTACCGAGTCGGCGACGCGTGGCCAGAGGAAGGGCTAGTGCCCAACAGCCACAACAACTTATCCCACCCCCCGCCGATTCGGTAGACGACGACATCAAAGCGCAACTGGAACGACTCGAGGTCGACGCTGAGTTAGAAGCACTTGAGAGGGAATTCGAGGAAGACAGCCGCAGGACGATTAGGGCGTACACCGCACCCGTGAATCAGTACCATCTCTGGTTGACCAATCTTTCCCTCTTCCACGGCCGGCGGTAGAGCATACGAGCGGTCATGGACGACGTCGACATGCCCGACGTTGGTACCCCAACCGACCACAGTCCGTCCTCTGCCTCCGTAGAGACGCTGAAGTTGCTTTACGATCTTGACAAACTTACTCAGATTCCCGAAGGGGAGTACACCAAGGACATACCGAATCCGCCAATTGGGGAGTTTACGAAGAAGTCGACACCGACGGCAGATGGGCAGACTGGACCTTCGTCGGTGCCCGCCGGCTCGGAAAACCAAGGTGATAACGACGAGGAGGACGAGGAAGAGAGCGACGACGAAGTCGACGACCGTCCTCCGCGTAGCACGAATCCGCGCACCTTGGAAGAACGCCTTAGGCGGGAATTTGAATACATACGTGACATGCTCGACGCGGACGAGAAGGAGGACGATCAGCACATGGCGGTGCCGCGCGAAGGGTGGAAGGCGACGGACTTTGTAGTGGACGACATGGTGTACTCCAGCATTGACGTGCTCATAATGGACGCCCTACGACACCTACAATGCTTGGAGAAGAATAGCACGCTCAGGCTGTACACCGCGTTCATCTACCACTACAAGAAGTGGGCGGCGAAGATGCTGAAGCAGCTACGCGACAAGCTACCCCATGAGCAACGACTTAGGCACGTCGACGAGATCGGCCACTACATCCGCGACAACAAGAAAGAGGATTGGTGCAACGAGAAAGTGGTCCGCCGACAGTACATCTGGCTGCACGGCCCTAGGGTCACCGAAACCCGGCTGCGCGCCTACGTGAAGCAAATGAGCCGTGAGTGTAACCTCATTGTTGACCAGCCCGGGGAGGAGAACAATGCCACGCGAACGGGGCCTGTGAGGTCGACAACTGTGCACACGATCCTCGGCCGGATAAAGGCATGCCAGATGGCGGCGAGGGTGGAGGCGACGCTGTACCGAGAGAAGGAGCTGGGCCTCATGAGGGAGATCTCGGTGGTGAGATCGGAGGTGCGGTTCAACGTCCGCCACAAGAACGAGAGGGACCTCAAGTAAGTTGGTCGACAACCTTATTTTATATCACTGTGCACTGTGAAGTCGACGCAGTCTAACAGAATTTCCCCGCCGATTTGCGTTCAGGAACTGCGCCGACCGTCGACGCGGCACCATCGGCGATACCTACACCGCCGAGCAGTTCCGCCAGATCATGATGAGGGTGCTGCCGACATGGGCGGCGGCGGCGTGGAACCCGCGGGCTACCACTCCGTCGCAGACGCTGTGGCGATTCCTGCTCATCAAGGTGCTCACGCTACTCTCCCACCACACTCTCCTGCGCGGCGGCAGCATCCGCGAGATCACGCTCCCCGACATCTTCTTGTACCACCTGGCGAGCACCTCGGAGGTGAACCCGGATAGCCAGCCGGTCGTCATGGTGATCGCCGCGCGTAACTCGAAGACTTCCAAGGATGCCCGTCTTCAGCAGAGCTACGCTGCGCGACACCTGGAAGCGGAGCTGTGCGCCGTCGGCGAGACCGGCCTGTGGCTGCACTTCATCCTCGACCAGATCGGTCAGTTCTCCGGCACCGACTTTCTTTCGCCGCTTGACATCACAGAACGCGAACGCTGGTACAAGAAGCATCTCTTCTTCGCCAGAAACGACAAGGAGCAGGAGGAGCTCTCCTCCGCCACCCACCAACGTTGGACTCGGCAGGTGTGGACGACCAACAAGGTGTTCTGCAAAAGGAACGTGCACGCCGCCCGCGCCGGAGGTGCGCAGGAGTTAGCCATCGGAGGGACGCCGCGCGCCCAGATCGCCGAGCTGGGACACTGGGCTCTCGACAAGATGACGCGTGCGTACATCACGGCCATTCCCGTTGGGGTGGTGATGCAGAAGGCCGGCTACTCGGGACTCAAGCAAGACTACTTCTTGGGGCGCAGCAGGGTCGAGCCCTCCGACAAACTCCTGGACCTGCTCGCCGAGCACATCTTCCCCGGCGTGGATGCTATGCTGCGCGATGTATGTCACGCGACGCCGACAATGTATTTCAGTCGTCGTGGCCTAGTTGGCTGCCCAACTCCCTACTAACCCACGCCACTTTCCGACTTGCAGGCGGAGACGCGTGCCGTCAACGGGAGCGACGCCGCTGCAGCCGCAGTGCACTTCTTGCGCACCCTCGTGATGTTCCGACGAATCGTCGCCGAGGACCTCGCGGTGAAGCTCGTCCGCACACCGTGGCACCCGTACGTCCAAGGTTCCAAGCTCTGCAGGATTGCCCTCTTCCAGCACTGGGCGAAAAGGGTCGAGTCGGTCGACACCGATACGATCAAAAAGCGCCGGGACCCGACTCAGATACAACCGGAGGTGAGTTGCCGACCATGTCGGCGTTGTTGGATTTTAGCCGGTGAATTCTAACCTCTTGTCGCCTTTCCGCACACCCAACATTGCAGGAAATATCCGTGCGCATGGACACCCAGTATCACAACATGTCCCTCAAGGAGGCGCTGAAGAAGGAGGTCGAGCGCTCGGCGCTCGA